CGGGCCGGAGATGTCTGGCCGAGTAGGGCGACGATATCTATGCACATCCGCTGCTCCCTGGCCAGGTCCATCCTGAACCCAGCAGCGGCGTACACGCCACGCCCTCCTCGCTTGGCCAGGAGAGCGTATACACGGCTCCTGGGTTCACCATGGGCCTGACTAGGGAGCAGTGGATGTGTATATATTCCATCGCCCGACCGAGGGTATGCTGCTACAGTCGGGCTGCTGAAATAAGGAACGCTGGCCCAGGTCAGCGTCGTCGTCGTCGTCGCCGCCGCCGCCGCCGCCGCCGCCGCCGTCGTCGTCGTCGTCGTCGTCGTCGTCGTCGTCGTCATCGTCGTCGTCGTCGTCGTCGTCGTCGTCGTCGTCGTCGTCCCCCCTCCAGGGTCGGCGGCACCGGCCGTAAGGCCTTCACAAAAAGGAACGCTAAAAATAGGAACGAAACCCCTGTTCGGCACCAGAAGAGCCTGGGTACACGATAAGGGCTAGCGGAACAAACATAGAAAGATCTGAGGAACATCGAATCTCTTCCGGACCCGAAGTGTTCATTTTTCCAGCATCTTGGGTGTACGCATGAAAGAGATGTCACCGAGAACCGGGCACGGCGAGAAAAACTGATTCAAGAAGGGTGATTTCGACGGCTGCTGGATTGCGTCAGGTCGAGCTCTAGGGCATCAGGTCGGGCTGGTGGTCCTTAGATCTAGCGAAACGGTTTTTTGTCCAAAGAACCCTGCTCCCGCTCGAGAGTTCCTCGCAAATTGCTCACAAACGAGGCCCCCGCGTGAGACAGTCTCACGATTTGCCCCATGGGGGTGCTCAAGCGCTGTGCCTGGCAGATGATCCCGATGGCCCGCTCGGACTGCCAACGCGAGCTGCGGGCCCTATAGGGAGGGGGCTCCCGCTCGAGACGCCCTCGCAATTCACTGACAAAGGAGGCCCCCGCTGGAGGTATCCTCACGGTTTGCCCGCCTCGTGCCCGGTAGATGAGCAAGACGATCCGCTCGGATAGCCAACATGAGTGGCGGGCCCCATGGGGAGCGGGCTCCCGCTCGAGAGTTCCCTCGAGGTGAGCACGTGGGTGTGTGAGTGTGTACGGTGATGATGGATGGGAGTGGTGATGAAGGGGAGGAGGAGGAGGAGGAGGAGGAGGAGGAGGAGGAGGAGGAGGAGGAGGAGAAGGAGGAGGAGGAGGAGTGGTGATGGTGAGTGAACATGTGGGCGCGAGTGAGTGCATGATGATGACGATGGCAACGGCGATACTTATGATTGTGATGGTGTGTAAGTGGGGCAGAGCGGGTGGAGGAGAGTGCAGGAAAAACAAGAAACCTACTCAGGATGCGGGAGAATAGTGCAAGAGTGCTTGTCTGTGTTGCTACGCAAGGCACTGGAGAACAAAATGGTCCAAGCGCTGTGGCTGCGGGGTCGTGCTGCAGTACGATGATGAACTGACCGACCGCAAACTCATTGTAGAAAGCATTTGGGTCAAAACCACCGTGGATTGGAATGCTCAAGGTCACTCGGGCATGCCGTTCCGAGCGCGGCTTTTGTCCTGGATTGCTTGCGCAGTGCCTCCTCGAACAATGATGCTGGCCTGCTGCCGCCTCTCACGACCTTCTTCCCATTTGCTTCCCGACCCCATCTTGCCCAGGAATCTTCATCCGCATGCTCCTGCTCCTGCTCCTCCCCCGCCTGTTTCTCCTCGCCTCATCATCCCCTTCTTCCTCCTCCTCCTCCTCCTCCTCACTCCTATCCCTGTCTTCCTCCTCCTCCTCATTCTCCTCCCATCCTCTTTCTTATCATCCGCTGCTTGTCGCCGCCCCAATGTCCCTTGCGGGCGGTGGGGCGACACGCGGAAGCGAGGGACTGCACGCCAGTAACCTAGACCGCACACTAAGCTAAACTCGAGGGTCGCATCGCGTGCGCAAAGGGGGGAGGTCTCTAGTTCTCCACCTACGCCTGATCGCGGCTCCTGCTCTCTCCGCATCCACGCTCTTTCTCGCACTCCCATTTTACTACATCCATCCAGTCCGCTTCTCTCTCCCATCCCTCCCTCCTTGCCTCCCTCTTCCCTTCCCCTCTTCCTTCCCTCTGCTCCCTCCCCCCTCTTCAGGGCGAGGACCCTGCAAGCTGATTGATATATCAAGCCCATCATCTTCCCAATATTGTTGCCATTTCCATGTGGCCGTCACGGGCTCGAAGAACACACGTGATCGAGAACACGCTTTTGCAATTTTCGTTCGCAGTCGAAACTGCGAAGCCAAGCCGTTCATTCAAAGCCATCTGCTTTGGACGGTCAGCTCCACCACAATATCTAGCCTAAATGCGGTGTGCAACGGGTAACGGTCGCGACAGCCGTAGCTAACGAGCGAATGAGCGAGAGATGGAGAGGAGATAGGCAGATCAGAAACACAAAAACGATGGCTCGTGTGTTCGCAGACTGGCTAGCGTGTCAGTCGGCGTCTCGCATGTCGCCAACCACGGCTGCAAACTTGAATCCGGAGAGCGGTGCCCTGAGCTGCCAGCTTCAGCTCGCGTCGAGTCCCAATCCCAGTGGAACCGAATATCGATGAGTTGGGACGAGCCCGCTGCGGACAGATTCCACACCGAGCGCTGCGCAGAATGACGCGCGGGACGGAGAGGCAAGATTGGCGGCGCGCACCACGGGGTAGGAGTAGGGGGGAAAGGCTTCTTGGGGGGTGGGCGCTTCTTAGAAGACGCCGGCCCTAGATCTCCAGACGAGGCCCGCGCCTTCTGAGAGCCAGGGGTGCTTCAAACAAAAATTCCCCTCTCCCCCTCCCCCCTCTGCGCATGGCCGAAACGGGGGGTCGATGCATCCCCCCTGTGCCTACGTATATCCCGTCTCCGGCGGCCGCTCGGGACGATTCCATGACACCCCCAGGACGCTCCCGGCGAGGCGCTGCTACTGGAGAGCCCCCCGAGGCTGGGAAACCGCCGCGAGCCAGCGAAAGCCTGGGAGAACCTCGAAGCTCGAAGCCTACCCCCCCCCCCCCTCTGCGCGTGGCCCGGAGAAGGCAGGGAGGGGCAGGCGCCGGGAGGGCCTGCCCCCGCCCTCCTCCGCCCCGGCGGCGCCCTCGCAGCGGGCCCGAGGGCGCGCGGCTCCGCGCGGGCCCGCAGCCGCGGGTGCTCGGGCCGCTCCAGGGGCGGCAGGCGCCGCTCGCCCTCGTCGTAGGACGTGCAACCCACCCAGACCCCCTCGAGCCATGAAGAAATCACGACGGGAGGATTTTCTATGTTTTCGGCCTCCGGGGGCCCTTACCGGCCCTCGGGACCGTCAAAAAACGACTCGGGGTGAAAACCCGGTCCCGGCGAACAGGTCCAGACCTCCGGGGGTCGCGTCATGAAAAAATCATGACGTCGGGGGTCTGGGCACCGAGCGCCAGGGGGGGCACGAGCCCGACCTCCTCCGCCCCGGCCGTGCCCTCTCAGCGGCCCGCGGGCGCGTGGCTCCGCGTGGGCCCGTAGCCGCAGCTGCTCGGGCCGTACCAGGGCCGGCAGTAGCCGCTCTGGGCGCCCGCGTCGTAGGACATGCACCCCACTGAGCTCTTCAGCCAGCACTGCCCGGACGCGTAGGTCCAGCCCCTGCACCGCTGCTCGCGGGCGCACTGCTGCTGGCAGTGGCGCGCGCTGCCGACGCCCGGCACCTGGCGCAGGTTCGCGCCGTGGTTGGCGTTCGTCTCCCAGATGTCGCTGCACCCCTCGCCGGGCGCCGGCGGGCTCGGCGTCGGGTACGGGCTCGGGCTCGGCCCGCCGCACGAGAAGCCGCAGTAGCTCGGGCCCTCGCACGGGCGGCAGTAGCCGCTCTGGGCGCCCTGCTCGTAGAGCATGCACTCCACCGAGCTCTTCAGCCAGCACTGGCCGGACGCGTAGGTCCAGCCCCTGCACCGCTGCTCGCGGGAGCACAGCTGCTGGCAATAGTACGCGCTGCTCACGCCGGAGACCTCGCGGAGGCTCGTGCCGCGGTTGCTTCTCGCCTCCCAGACAGCGCTGCACTCGCCGAGGGGCGTCGGCGGGCTCGGGGTCGGCGGGCTCGGGGTCGGCGGGCTCGGCGTCGGCGGGCTCGGCGTCGGCGGGCTCGGCGTCGGCGGGCTCGGCGTCGGCGGGCTCGGCGTCGGCGGGCTCGGCGTCGGGATCGGGGTCGGCCCACCCCCTGGGCACGACCAAGACCAACTGGTCGGCCCGCTCCATGGGTGGCAGTAGCCGCTGTAGATGCCGCTCTGGCCGCGCATCATGGGGCACACCCTCTCCTTCAGGTAGCACTTGAAGCTCACCCACGTCCAACCCTTGCACCACCAGTTGTGGCTGCACATCGACTGGCAATCCTCCTTGCTCGAGCTGCCGCCAAGCCACGCGCCGTTCGACGAGTCGCCGAACATGTTCGCTCCGTAGTTGTTGCTCCCGTGCCAGATGCCACCGCAGCCAGAAGCGTCTGAGGTAGATGAAGGGTGAGAGTAAGCGCCATCCCACTCATAGTTGCCATGGTTTTTGACCTGGATGAGTGAGCCCTCATCGTTCTCTGGCGCGGACGAGCACGACTGGTTGGCGGCACGGGTGACAGAACCTGCGAGGACCACAACGGTAAATTCCAAATGTCTGCTCATCGCGGTATTTCTCAACAAGAATGGAGCCCCGAGCCACTTCTCGTCGGCTGTAAGGACAGAACGCACAACACACCTGTAGCCAGTCTTCCGCCAGAATGGCTACAGAGGACGGCAACTGTGACATCCAGATTGCGTGTTGCTATGCCAGCCTCCTCGCGGAGGGACAGCAACCCTCTGGCGCTGCCTGACCTAATCTCCACTTGGCAGAGACAGACGTTGTGTTGGGGAGTGCGCATATCAGGATGATGAGGGAGGAGGAAAAGGAGAAAGAGGAGGAAGAAGACGAGGCGGACAACCGTCAACGCCACGCTGGAAACCTTCCCATAACTGTCAGCAAGGTGGCTCTCCCGTATGTAGCTTCCAAGGTGGAGTGAATGAGATCAGAGCGCGGGCATATCAACCCAACATGCTCCCGCACACGTCATATTGGCGGGGTTGTCTCTGGCTCGACCAGCATGCTCAGCTGTGATGCTAAAACAACGAATTCGGCTCTATCTTCCTCGTGGGCGTCGTGATGGCGCCACTGCCACTACCACCGCCACTGGTCCTCTGTGGACCCGTCGTCGTGCTCACACAAATCAGGTGTACAGATCTCTTGGTCGAGGCCTGGAGGGCACAGTACAGTGGGGGCCAGTCCACAAGAAGCCTTCCACAAGAAGCCGAACCCCGAGACCCCAGGACGTCCACCGATGTCTGGCCTGGGAACGTCGCGCTCTCCCTCGCGAAACCGTCGAAACCCAAGAAACCCAGGGCACCCTGGAGGCAAGCGGGGTGTTTCTTGGCATGGGTCTCCACTGTAGGACACAAACGATCAGACATCTTGCAAACATTTTTTAGGGACACGGTTTTCGTCGGTTTGTACAGTTAGCCCGCGTGATGTCGACGCGCGATGAGGACGCAAGGACCTTGGAAGGCCATGCCGACACTTTGCGAGCGGGGCGCGGCCAACGAAGGCGGCCAAGGATGGACCGATGATGCCAGGGAGGCAAGGGTACCCTTGGGAAGGTTGCCCCTCCTTGCTGTGCAGGTTAACTGTAGCTCCCTGAGGTGCCACCGTGCTTTAGTGGGCCCTCAAGGCCGTGGCGGGGGCTGGTGTCGCTGGTCCTCCTTTCGCAGACGCTCCTCTCGCCAGGTTCCCTTCCCCCGGCGCTGGTTTCGCCGGGGAGCTCCCGTCGCTGGCGGGTACTTTCTCGCCGGCGCTCCTTCTGCCAGGCCTGCCAGGCTAGTGGCTTCGCCGCAGCTCCTTTCGCCGGGCTCCTCGCAATGGGCGCTGGATTCGCCGAAGCTCCTTTGGCGCGTCGGGTCGGGTCGGGCAGGGTACGAAAGTGTGGAGAAGAATCCCATGAGCACGAGTGAAACCTAGCAGACGGGTCGGGTCGGGCGGGCAGACCCCAACGGGCGGGTCGGGGCGGGCGGAGCGGAAAGTGTGGTGCAGAAGCGAGGTAGCACGCGCAAACCCTCACGTGTGGGTCGGGCCGGGCGGGCGGACGGACCCGAACGGGCGGGCCGGGTCGGGCGGAAGGAGCCGGGCGAGAAGAGCCGTCGGCGAAAGGAGCGGTTACCGGGGACATCGGGGGAGAACGAACTTGCATGGGGCACGTGCTGGCAGGCAGGTTTCTGAGTTGACGTGCCTACTGTTGGAGGCCTGGAAATGGGCACCAACACCAATACAGGTGGTTGCCTCCTGTGGGGGGAAGATGATCACAATGTTTGGTGTTGGTGGTCGCATTCTGGCCATAACTATTAAGAGGCCCTGGCATGACCACCACCACTAGCGCGATCGGGCGCATCTTTCCCCAGTGGAGGCGCACCGCCGATCTTGCTGTTGTCAACCTTTAGGCATCCTGTACTGTAGCCCATGCCGTGGGATGGTGGTGGTGGCGTGCGGCTGCCGCGCGCCAGAGCACCCCCCTCCTCCCCAGCGCGGCGCCACAGCCCCGCGCGGCGCCGCCCAGCTTCGCGAGCACCGCCACCACCTGCCGCGGATAGAGAGGGGGGAGAGGGGATGCCCTGGAGCCAGCCGCGAGCAGCACGGGCCGCAGGGGGAGGCAGGGATCGGCGGGGCCGATGCCCGGCGGCAAGAGAAAAAGCAGCATGACCGAAAAACCTGGGGTGGATAATCAGGGAGGAAGATCAGCGGCACAGTGGGGGAGGAGAGGGGACGAGGAGGCGTCGAGGCGACCCGAAAGAAGCAGCGCATGCTGAGGCAAGCCACACGCCAGGAGAAAGGAGGCAGCCGAACGACAAGAGCGGACGACCAAGAGAAACGGGATCAAAGTCAAACCTAGATGCCTCCTATGGATGGTGCCCGAGTAGATAGGGCCGGAGGATCGCACCGCATCGCCACTGCATCGCCGATGCATCGGCGACGTCGGCGTAGACAAAATCAGGGTCCACATTGAGCCGCATGCCGATGCGTCGAGATCCTCCGACCTCATCCGCTCGGACCCCATCTGGGGGGGGCCAAAACAACCGTACAGACTTCCTCGTCCGTGCAAGTGCACGTGCGTGCACCTCTTCCCTTCGCGGAGCTCGCACCGCTCGTTGGGACGGGGTGGCTCGGATGCGTGCTGCGCGTCGCCGTCGCTACGAGTGTACAAACAGCAGGCCTGGGCAACAACACGAAGTACAACCGAAATACGATGAAGGAAACTACGTTAGGTTCGAGTCGTGCCGACTTCGGCGTTGGTTTCTGACACCACGGAGATCGTTCAATTTTGAACGATCGGCCGTCCCAGAAACATCAGATCGTTCCACATCGACCGATTCTGGGTCGCCAGCGGCGTTCAACATTGAACGCCAACGGCGGGGTCGCCGCCGGTCGACACGACACGAACCTACCGTAACAGTTCAGACATCTGGGCCAGCCCAGGAAATGTCTTAACACAAGCCTGGGCCAATGTATGTAGCAGACGCTGGAGAGGCAAACGAGCTCCAGAAACTGGGCCAGCCTTCCGGCAAGCTGGCTGAGAGACGCTGGCCCAGCTGTTCGGGAGGAGGCTCTGTGAACCAGCTGCTCGACTGGACTCATCCGTGGGCGCCGGCGTGCTCGAAGACAGACCGGCAACGGTTGCAACAGCCATACCCTGGCAGCGCGCGCGAGAACGAGCAACCCCGCTGGTAGACGCGCCACCCTCGGGCCGTGCGAAAGGGGGGAATAGCAAAGGGAGGGGGGTTGAGAATCAGCTCACGTAGCTGATTTTCCGGGCGCCACCTGGCGCCGGAGACGGCTATGTATCGAGGAATGAGCCCCTCGGTGGGGCCGAAACCAGCTGCATGCAGCAGATTTCGTAACCCCCCCTTTCCCAATCCCCCCATTTCGCCCGGCCCGACACCCTCCTCCGACGTCCCTGGACAAGGCCCCCAGACCTTCGACGACTCGATCCTCTCGAGTCGCCAGCCCCAGGAGCTCTCGGCACCCTGCCCGGACGGCCCCAGCGCCCAGAGGCAGCCCCCGGGTGCGGAGAGTGGCGAGAAACACCTTCGGCGCTATTCTTTGATGCTGCTGCTGATGATGACGATGATGACGATGATGATGATGATGAGGAGGAGGAGGAAGAGGAGGAGGAGGAGGATGGTGGTGATGATGATAATGATGGTGGTGATGATCATGATGCTGATGCTGATGCTGATGCTGATGCTGATGCTGATGCTGATGCTGATGATGATGAGGATGATGCTGATGAGGATGAGGATGAGGATGAGGATGATGATGATGATGATGATGATCTGGGCTTGCTGGACCTGTCGAAGGTCCGCCCTACCAGCGCCTGCGCTGCTTCTCTCGAGGGATGGGGGCCGAAGCACAGCCGCTCGCCTCGGGCGGGCGGGCGCCGCGCCTCGTGAGCCCGGAGATGGGCTCAGCTGGCTCGGCGGAGATCTGGTCGGGCCCTGTGCACACTGCCCGGGAGCTGTGTGGGCCCCGGAAACGGCAGGGCCGTCCTTGCACCGTTCCCCCAAAAAATTGCCCCAACATCGCCAAAAACGTAACTTTCGGAGGTCCGAGGCGGTCTCGCAGGTTCGCGCTGGGTCCCCTCCCCGCCACCCTTTCCCCAGTGCCTCCGGCGCTTTGTGGGCCCCGGGAACGGCAGGGCAGTTCTTGCACCGTTTCCCCCAAAAAGATGTCCCGGGAGCGGCAACAAAAACGGCGACCGGGAGCTGCAACAAAAACGGCTCCAGGATTGGAGCCGGAGCCGGAGCCGGTCAAAAAACGGCGACGGAACCGGTAAAACAACGGCGTCGGAGCCGGCAAAAAAACGGCAAAACGGAACCGGTAAAAAAACGGCCCTGTCGTTTCCAGGGCCCACTAAGCCCGGGAGGTGTGCGTGTCCGACATCGGCACAGGCCGCCTCCCGCTCTGGAAGCGCTGTGGCCAGACATCCCGCAGAGGGTTCGTCGAGTTGTGGCGGTTGCGGCCCGAGCTTCCCGCGCTGCTCTACTCCCTTGCCAAGATGCGCTGCGCTGCGTGGTGTGCTGGTCGTGTGCGGCATATGGTGAAATACGCTTTTCTGCGTAGTGCTTGCTATGCGGTGTGTTGCATGGTGAGACGCGACAGAGCGGCAATTGTTCTTGTTCTCCCCCGGATCCGAGTCCGAGCCGGCAAGTTCACTGATGAGGTCCAACATGTGTAAGACTCGCTCCTCGAAGATACCACCACGCCTACAATATTGTACGTAGCTTCTCGGCGTGGCGCGGTGCTGGGTGGCGGGCGAAACGAATCGTGCTCGTGCGCAGGCCAGCAAGCGCATGAACCGATCGACTCAAGTACAAGAGAACCGCTACGGGCATACGAAACAGAGGCCCTCAGGCCGAGCCGCCAATGGGCAAGTACGGCCAATCCCGCAGTGCGCTACAGGCCAGCGGGCCCGCAAGCTCGTAGGGCGGTTGGTATCAACGGCAAATGGCTGGCGGCCGTCCACCAGCTTTTTGCCTGCAAGCACGGCCCAAGCATGCTGACGAGGGAACGCAAATGTTGATTGCAAGCTGGCACGTGAACCACGGGAACGTGCCTAGGCTTGCCAGCCCTTGGCCGGGCATCTCTCTAACCAGTCGGCGGGTCCCACGGCAGTCACACGGCAACGCTCCCGCACCAAGCAAGACCAATATCGTCACCAGCGGCAGAACGCATTCGGAATGATTCACGAATGGAGGATGAGGAGGCGGAGGAGG